GCTGGCTCAGCGTGACAGCAAAGGCTGCTCCCTTCCTCTGGGTGATGCCACCATTCCCTCCTGCCATCAGCTGATGGTTGTTTTCACAGAATTTTTCGTTTGCCAACTACATCGCTTTAATTTGAGACTAATAGTTGCTAAGGCTAACTAATGAAGTGTACTCTAATTAGTTACGAAGGTCTCCGTGACAACGTATTGTTCTGTTAGGTTCTTGCCTCTGCCTCCGGGAAGAGGAATGGAGACTCGCATTGCCAGATCTGCATCTGGAACGTCCAGGATGGGGTTTGCACAGCGAGTCTCTTCCATCACGAGACGCAAGTACAAGCCATGGCATTCTCTCGGGATGATAGATTCCTTGTTACCTTAGGTGAGTACATGAGGTGTGGGTGCAGGAGTACATCTGAGAGTAGACAGCTCAGGAGGAAGATGCTGTGAGCGTGCAATACCTGCGAGATACATACCTGGCTCGTGGCTATGAAGCTGTTGCTTGATAGCCTTGGGGCAATGGATAATGCAGCATGTAAAACTGCAAGTGATCTCGGGGCCTCCCAGGAGTGACCATCTGCAGAGGTACTCTTTGCAGCTCAGCATGCTTCCAGGGCGCTGTCGGCAGTGTTTCGCGGGGAAGCACGCACCCTCTGCATCTCAGCCACAGATATGAACGCTGGGCTCCCCCCAGCTCCCCTTTCTCATTGCCCCAGCTGGCTCATTTCTCTTGAAGTTACAGCTGTCTTCTCCTGGCTCACTAGTGCTTGTTAAGCCCATGTAAATAGTTTGCAGTTACTATATATAGTGTCCAAAGAGAAAAACCTTCTTCTGGGCTTCTTATTGCTGCTTAGGTGGAATTGCATAGAAGTAGCCAGGCTTCAAACTGTGAGCCTCCCGCCAGGCAGCGATGCCAGTACAAGACTGGCGCTCAAGCTGTCTGTTTTGTTTAGGCAGGGGACATTTAAAGGACAAATATGCAATTAGTAAGTTCTTGTTTTGCATGAGAGAGGACCTGTGGAGCAGGCATGTCATGGTTTAACCCCAGCCGGCAGCTAAGCACCACGCAGCCACTTGCTCACCCACCCCGGTGGGATGGGGGAGAGAATCGGAAGGGCAGAAGTGAGGAAACTCGTGGATTGAGATAAAGACAGTTTGACAGGTAAAGCAAAAGCCGGGCACGCGAGCAAAGCGAAGCAAGGAATGCATTCACTGCTTCCCATCGGCAGGCAGGTGTTCAGCCATAGGCAGGTGTTCAGCCATCTCCAGGAAAGCAGGGCTCCATCACGCGTAGCAGTTGCTTGGGAAGACAAACGGTGTTACTCCAAATGTCCCCCCCTTCCTTCTTCTTCTTCCCCTGGCTTTATGTGCTGAGCATGGTGTCGTGTGGCATGGGACATCCCTCAGCTCAGTTGGGATCGGCTGTGCCCCCTCCCTGTTTCCCGTGCACCTGGCAGCATGAGAAGCTTGACTGCCTAGCAACGACTAAAAACATCAGTGTGTTATCAACATTGTTTTCATCCCAAATTCAAAACACAGCACTACACCAGCTACCAGTAAGAAAATTAACTCTATCCCAGCCAAAACCAGGACAAGGCAATACACTCTCTATGGGCTGGTGAGTCTGCCCTCAGAAAAAAGCAAGCATTACTGGAGAGAAAGAGCGCTTTGTGCTCTCCACGGAGCAGCGTGGGAGAGGAGCCCTCCTCCTCCAGCTCCGGTCTGGGCTGCAGAGAAGAGAAAAGCTGACAGTCTCCACTGAGGTTGTGGAGCCTGGGAGAGGCAGCAGGAGAGCACTGTCCTCCGGAGCTGTCTGGGAGGTGGGGCTGGCTGTTTGCCACCACCGAGGCCAGTGTCTTCTCCTGCCACCCAGATGCAGTGGCTTCCATTAAGGTCAGCTCCCATCTCAGCTTTGACCTCAGCACAGGTGACATCCCTCTCTTATTTCTAGACTGTTGTTAGCTCTGTGTGCAGGGTATCACTGGAGGGCTTGTGTGTGGTGTACATTGAAGTGTGCAGTAGTTCCTAAGGATGTAGAAACAGCAGAAAACCTGCTTTGCCTGCTGAAATCCCTACCACGCCAGCCATTGGCTGGTCCAAATGCTGGCTGCAGACCCACTGCCAGATTTGCTACAACCTCCAGCATGAATTATATCTGTCCTCAACTTGGATAAGGACCCATCGTGTTGTGCAGCTTTTGCTGAGCACGCAAGGAGACATGTCCATGCCCGGGACGGTGTTCACAGCAGTTGTTGCCAAACAGCTGGACAAGGGAGTGATGCAGCTGATGCATGTGTGCAATGTGTATGCTTGTGAGCATCCTGAGGCTGCAGAATTTCCTCCTACTGTCTTTCATGTTCTACCCAGGGGACTACAGCGATCAAACCGTTGCTCTGTGGAACACCTACACTCACGAACTCATGTTTTCAACTTGTGTCCTGGAGCCAGTCCATGACGTGGCTTTTAGTCCTCTTTGTCACAGAGAACTGGCCTGTGTGGGGAGGGGAACCGTGATGTTTTGGCTGTTGGAACACCAGGGAGCTGATGTCAGCCTCAAGGTAAACCTCAACTTTACTTTCTTCTAAAATTTCTGTTTAGCATCTCTAACTTCTTTTCCAAGCCCCTGGTGAGTGCAATGGAGGCTCTGCCCCCACAAGTCTGAGAGAGATGGTGATTTCTCTTAGTGAGGTGATGTTGGCTGACCGTGAGTGGCTTCTGGTTGTATTTGAGGCATTAACTGCATGAATTGAGGGGAGGAGGAGGAGGAGGTTTTTCCCCCTGTAGGTAAGCACCAAGTTCTGTGATGTTGCTGTTTTCTGTGCTCTGACAGGTTCATCGGGCCCCAGCCCTGGATGTTTTGGGGCCGGTGGAGCTGACCTCTCTCTGTTACGGTGCTGACAATCTTCTGTATAGTGGGACCAACTCAGGCCAGATCTGCGTGTGGGACACTGAGACTAATGGCTGCTTCATGACATGGGAGGCTGATGAAGGCGAGATTGGTGGGTGTAAATGCCCCCGGGGGTCTGTCAGGGCCATAACAAATTCCATGGGAACTGGTTAGGAAAGAAGAGCAATGAGCTTGCAGGCTTCTGATTTCAGCTGTGCTCAGAAAACCAGTTTGCTGTGTTGGATACAAGGTGCCTGGGGTGGCAACGGATCCAGGTTTCCCCGGATTTCCCTGGGTTTCCTCATCAGAGCTGGGGGATCCACCTCTAGTCTGTAAAGACTCTGGGTATTGGGCTGTAAAAGACCCTCACTGCCCTGCCCAAACGAAACGGTGGCCTGGCTGTCCGGAGCACACCTTGGGTGATGGCCGAGGGTGGTGGATATTCACGGGTGCCCTTCATTCCCCTGTGGCTCCCAGGTGTGCTGGTGTGTCGGCGCAACAGGCTGATGAGCGGCAGCAACACGAAACGCATCCGACTGTGGGCAGTGGCCGCCGTGCGGGACCTGAGGCTGCGAGGTCCCGATGCCAGGTAGGAGGCCGTGGCCTCAGCAACCCCCTGTGCTCGCGCCCGTCTCGCCATGCTCCTGAGATGCTCTTCCCCTTGTCTGGCAGGTCCCAGGACCTGTCTGAGAGGTGGCTTTTCACAAGCAGACATCAGCTCTGGCTGCAACCGTGCTGCTCCTGTTGCTGTTCGTCCTTAGCTTTTCCTTTCCATCCTGTGGCTGCTGTTTCTTTCTGTCTGGATCTTTTTACTAAACTTTTGCCACAGGTAGCTGAACCCTCTTAATACTGGAAATGGGTGGAGTTTATCAGGCCGGAAGTTTGTGTTGGTGATTTGTAGGAACTCCTGTAAGAGAATTAGTGGAAATACGTTGCCTTTGTTTCTTCTCTCGCACTATTGCATCCCCTATTTTCTTTCTTTCCTATAAAAGATGGTTGCAGTGCAAATGCAACAGTAGTCACTGTTCAGTGTACAGGAGCCCCTCATCGAACCGTTTAGCTGCAAATACATGACTGGGCTCATTAGAAAATTGCATTTAAAGGAGGCAGAGGGGCTGTTCCAACAGTTAGTCAGTCTTTCTCACATCTTCCTTTCCTGCAGCTCTAGCTCGGTCCTGCTAGAACATGAGATCACCCTCGATGGGACAATAGTCAGTGCAGCCTTTGATGACTCTCTCGAAATGGGAATTGTGGGCACCACGGCAGGAACGCTATGGTACATCAACTGGATGGAGAGCACAAGCATCCGACTGATCAGCGGACACAAGAACAAGGTTGGAGGGGCTGGGCTGGAGTGGTTTGTCCTGCCGAGCAGCGAGCACTGTGTGTGCTGTCCGTGCCCCGGGAAGCGTGTGCAGGCTGCAGAAGCGTTCCCTGGTCTGGCCACAGGAGAGCTCAGGGAGCTGCAGGGCTCACTAGTGCTGACGGGATGACGTGGAAGAGTCTGGAGAGATATCTGGACACTGAGGAGTCCAACATTGAGAAGTCTGAGCTCATCCGCTGTAGCCTTGGGTGTTTAACACCCTCAGCCTGGGAGCAGTTGTGGGCCTTTCTGCTGGAGCAGAAGAATGTAGTTTGCAATCACTAAGGCTTCATTCTTGAGCGCTGCGATGTCTGCTTGCCTTCTGTTTGCTAGCTGGGCATCCATAGTGGGTAATATTTTCTTTGCCTAAAACACACACAAAAAAAAACAGGTGAAGAATGATGGTTTTGAATTTCACCGTTGCTTTGAGGTGTCTTTATGCTACAGAGAAAAGGGTTCAAATGGTAGAAGGGAAGGTATTTTACATAGACGTACGTTGCATAGTGCCTGGTCCTAGCTTTGTGGCTAGGTTTACTGATTTCCATTACAAGCCTAGCTGCCAGCCCAAAATTCATGCACAAACCCAAAGCATTCCACCTTCCTTTATGTTTAGGGCTTCTTGTCTGGTGTCTCCCATGGGAGGGGTCCTGATGAATGAGAGGGCAGAGGAGCTGATGTGCTCTAGTCTGTGGCATCTGTGGAGCCCCGGTTCCCCATCTTGTTTCTCACTGCAGGTGACCGAAGTGTGCTTCAGTCCTGACGAGACTCACTGCGCCACGTGCGGGGAAGACGGCAGTGTGAGGATTTGGTCTCAGGGCAGCATGGAGCTGGTGGTACAGTTCCAGGTGCTTAACCAGGTAATTGTTTGTGAGATCTCAATCTCTTACTCTTGGTAGAGGGCACAGTCCACTGCTTGGGATTGCAAGGGCTGCTGTGTCCTCGCGGAGCAGACTAGAGCTGGAGAAATACTTGCAGGTGGACCTTTCGGTGCGCTTGCCGTCCTCACTGTGTTATTGGGTCTCTGCCCTGGTTGCTTTGCAGAGCTGCCAGTGCCTGGCCTGGAAGCCTCGTCCCATCATCATGTGGGGAGCTGAGCGCCAGCACGTAGTGGCAGGGTACAGCGATGGCACCATCCGCGTGTTCAGCATTTCCAGGACAGAGATGGAGCTGAAAATGCACCCCCATGCTGCTGCAGTGACAGCAATTGCCTACTCCACAGACGGTGAGACTGCCTGTTACAACAGCGGCGAGACGTTGCCTTGGGGAGCATGGCTTGGTTGTGCCTGGGTTACCCTGCCCTCCAGCTGCTCTGCGTACTGGCGACCTGCCCAAAAACCTGGGGCCAGGGAGGGCTGGAGAGCTTGCCTCAATGAGCTTTGGTAGCCTCCAGCTGAGCATGTGGTGAACGGGACACTGGAGGCATATTGGCAGTGATATAGCAAAGGGGTTTGGGTACAAGAACCATTCCTTTGTGTCCTCCTGCTTACAATCTACAGCAGCTCTTGTTTGGTGTGGTGTTTTAGTAGGTGTCTTCAAGATGTCTCATCTCGCCCAGCCCTTGACTCAGATGTTCCCAGCCTTTCACAGTGTTTTGGGACACTGGTATCCCACAATCTTAGACTCACCTCCTGTGGGTTTTTTCTTCTCCTACAAGAAGTGTCCCGTTCTTTTCTCTCCTCTGCCCACAGGAGAAATGATCTTATCGGGGGACAAGGACGGGCTCGTGGCTGTCAGCAGCCCTCGCACCGGAATGACTATCCGCATCCTGGCCGACCACAAAGGCTCCCCCATCACCGTCCTCCAGTGCACCAGGAAGCAGGTGAGACCTCGCCCTCTGCCCCGGCACTGCGGGACTGAGTCCCCCGTGTGTCACTGCACACCTGCCGGAGGCAGCAGCAGCGTGGCCGCTTTGGTCAGCGAGTTTGCTTCGCTGTCCCTCACCTTTCCTCTTCGGGCCCCCATCCCCTCCAGTAACTTCTGTTCAGTTTTTCCAGGGATGTCTTCGGTTGGGTAAAGCCGCAGGCGTTGCAGGTGCGGCCCTGAGCGAGGCTGTGCCTGCGGGCAGGGGGACCTTTGGTGGCCGTTGTAGACGTGCTGCACGCAGGTGTGATGTGTGCTCGCACCGCAGGCTGTCGGAGAGCAGCACCCCTTGTGAGCAGCCTGGGCTGCGAGCCCCTGTGCCCCCGAGAAAGGGCTCGGCATGCTTTCCCCAATCTGCTCTGTGGCAGCCTGGCCTCCTGTGCATAGCTAGCTCTTTGTACAGTTCCTCTGTGGAACTAGGAAGCAGCAGTGTGATGGTCTTAGCATCTCCTTTGTCCTTCTCTTCACATGGAGTCTTTTTCCTTTGCACAGCAGAAATAAGAATAATTTTGCCCAAGTTCTCAGGCTTTAAAATCATCCATGCTGCAAGGCTGTGTTCCCTGGTATTTCTAGAAGTAGGAGATCCTCCTCAGTTTTAGGTGAAGGGCATCATTAGGGGACACACAGTATCTGCAAGCACCCGCCGAGGAGATGTGCAGATCCGGAGGGCGTCCCAGAGGAGAGATCTGTGTCGGCCATGCCCGCAGCTCACCCCTCCTCCAGCAGCCTCTTCTGCTGGGGCTGAAGCGTGCCACTGGTTCCAATACCATGGCTTCCTTGTCCTATTTTATTCTAAGTGACTTTAAGCACTGCCCAAATGGAAGTTGATCCTGGCGTTGATCCCCTGTGGCATAAGGCCTGTGTTCCATGAGCTCCTGCCTCACACTAGCTCTAGCGGCAGCTTTGCTTAAAGCTTCTGTACTGCCAGAGTCACAGCCTTGCTTTTATTTTCCATAGTACCGTGACTTTGGTGTGGAAGGAGGCGAGCTCTGGCTGGCCACCAGCTCTGACCGGCGGGTCAGCGTCTGGGCCTCCGACTGGCTGAAGGATAAGTGGGCTGCCAGCCCCTGCCTGCTCCTAGCACGGGTCTCGGCACAGGCTGAGCCGGAGGGGAGGGATGCCTCAAGGCTCTGTGCGGGATGGGGCCAAAGAGAGAGTGTGTGCTTAGCAAAGTCATCTTCATTAGTTCTGCTGCTCGTAGAGTATCTTGTTTATGCACCTTCTTGCGTGTCGACAGGCAGTGGGAATTGTAGCGGTGCCTAACTGCTGGGAAGAACTGACTTTGTAAGCATGAGGAGTCAAAAACTGCATCTGCAAAGAGCTGACACCCCTGTGCTACGCAAAACAGAGCATGGGCAGCAGTGAGCACAGCGCGCAGGAGAGAGAGCTAATTATGAGCATGCTGCTAACTTTGACACTCCCAAAGAGTATGAATATTCAGAGCCTGGAGCCCAGTGATGGGTTTATAAAGCCAAATACTCTAGCCCTGCATGTCTGTGATGCTTTGCAGGCACTTGGGCTCCCACCCAGGTGTGGGATTTAGGCAGCAGAACACCTGCTAGAAAGAGGGGAGGGTCTGCATCGGGCAGGACGTGGAGATGGTCCCTGATGCACGCGACATTGGCATGCAGAGGGAGCTGGGTCTTTTCGAGGGGGCAAGCGGTGGTGCCTCAGCCTGCCGCCCTCGGGGCCAAGCGCCGTCTGGGCCCATATAGCAGCTGGGTTCTGTCAGCATTTCTCCTGTTTGTTTCCAAAACAATGGATTTCCTCTCCGTGAAAGGAAACTCACTACAGGTCTCCCCACAGTGAACAGGGGAAGGATTGATCCCGCATCCACTACTAAAGGTCTCTTTTCTGGGCCCTATTTTCTTGTGTTAAACCGATTCATAATGCAATCTCACCTTCAGGCCCACATAGCAGTAATACCTTGGTGGAAATTCAACCTGTTGGACCCTCATGTGTCTTGCTTCTGTGACAGTAAACAATTTGCTTCAGGTTTCCATGGCAGTGTGTGGTTGCTCCATACTGCTTTGCCGTGAGCACGTCTGAGATGGCAATGCAAGAGGGAGGAAACAGCCTCCATCGTAGTAATTTCCTGCTGCTCAGACACCCGCAGCCCAAGGGCTGGTGTCCCTCCATGCTCTCCTTATGTCCCCCTCTGTGTTGAGTCGGGCTGGAGAAACTAGCCTCAATTTTGTGCCCTTTGGTTTCCCCCACCAGGGTCTCATCAGCCTCCCGCCCAGCCTGGCCGCATTCTGCCCTTGGGAACCCAGTACTCTGGTCTACGTCGGCTTTGGGATGCAGAAGGAAGCCTTGTTTTACAGTCTGCGCAAGAAACAGGTATTCGTGCCCTGCCAGGCACGCCTCTGCAGCAGCGGGGCCATGGCCACATCAAACGAGGTGCAGTGGGGGGAGGCAGTGCTGCCCTGCGCGTAAAGCCAAGGCTGAGGGTGTGCGGTGGGCTCAGGCAAGCAGCTGCTCGGGGCAACAGCTTTTCATCTCGAACCCTGAGTCTGGCCCGTGTAACTGGTGAGCAGCAGGGCCCTGCCCTGCCTTGAGCTGCGTCTGGGCAGGGTGCCAGTCCCTCCTGCTGCCCTGCTGCCTTTCGATCCAACTGGAGGGAAGGTGTTTGCTTTCAGGAGCGCTAATGGTCTCTAAATCGTTGAGTCGAGTCCCCTCTGGAAAGTCGATGCCTTTGGCAGGTTTCCGAGCTCTGAGAAGCGCTGTGCATCTGTCAGCCTCCCCTTTGAGAGGAGCCCTTTACCCTCCTAATGACCATCACTAGAGCAGCTCCGGTCTTCAGCCTGCTCATTTCTGAGGCGTTGGTGTGTTTCTCTTGCTGGAGCACAGGTAGTTGAGAAGATTGCCTTGCCATACTTCGCCACATCGTTGAGCCTGTCTCCTGCAGCACGCTTCATGGCTGTCGGCTTCGGCGGTGAGTACCAGAGGGTGCTGTGGGCTCTGCTGCCCGGGCTGCCTTGCCACCACGTTACCTTCCATGAGGAGGGATCTCCCCTTCTTGCTGAGAAGGAACCAAGTATCCTTTTTCCTTTAAATGAGACATGTGCACACACCAGCCCCTGCCCTCGTAACCTGGGACTGCAGTCCCAGGACCGTGGGTAGCTGCCCTGCTCCCAGGCAGCGTATGTGTCAGGCAAGAAGAAAGCTCTGGGAGACTCACAGATCAGAAACAAGATGTGTGAGCTTAGTCCTGTTTGTCAGTGAGCAGGATTTGTCGCTCGAATGACTCCTTGGGGTTACAAGCTGTCTTCATCATTAATGGCCTCAAGTTGCATCAGGGGAGGCTTAGATTGGATACTAGGAAAAATTTCTTTACTGGAAGAGTGGTCAGGCATTGGAACAGGCTGCCCAGGGCAGTGGTGGAGTCACCATCCCTCTAGGGGTTCAAAAAACATGTAGATGCGGCACTTCGGGACATGGTTTAGCAGGCATGGTGGTGTTGGGTTGATGGTTGGACTTGATGATCTTAGAGGTCTTTTCCAACCTTAATGATTCTACGATTCTATGATCTCTGCTTACGAGCAAACAGCTCTCTGGCTGTGTGACCCTACAGCCCAGGAGGCAGACGGGACCTTTCCCCAGCACAGGGACGATCAGCACCTTGCTCCCGTAGCTGTTTGTGTCTGCCTGGGGTGACAGCTGTATGTCCATCGCGCTCTGACAGCGGCTCCTGAGAGCAGGGTGAGCTCCACGCCCACCCCAGAGCTGCAGGGCACCCGCTGAGCCCAGGGCCGGGCACTTCAGGGGGGTGCGAGACAGCAGAGCTGCACTAACGCGTGCTGCCTCATCCGTTACTGCAGTGTAACAGCCTGACATGTAGCCTGGAGCTGCCCTGTCACACTCTCTCCCCCTTACCAGCTGTTAATTGCCCGCTTGCTTCGGCAGGAAGCTGTCCCCTGTTGCTCGCTGTCTCGACGTGCAGCTCAGCAGGGGCGAGGGGGCCTGGGGGGTGATCCGGAGCGATGCTCCCAGCAGGGACAAGCCCCATGGCGGCGGAGCCTCCTCCCCCCAGCACTGAGCACTCTTCTTTCCTCACAGAACGGCTCCTAAGGCTGCTGCGCTGCCCAGCCGGCGAGGC